CAAGGCAGTGGAGTGGGATGCAGTGAAGGGCTCCAAACCGGATCTTCCCCGGATCCTCCCGGTTTTACCGGATACAAGAAGGTTTCGAGTAGATGGAGAGGGGTTCAGAAAGGGTGCCGAGTAAGTGGTGAGGATTCAGAGAAGGCTCAGAGCCATATTCTTCTATCAATCACCCTCTCTGTAGTTCCTGAGAAGGTTCCGGGCCGGATTCCCCCGGCCCCCTCCGGCTCCCACAGGGAACAGTCTCGGCGACTTCGTCAGGTGCAAGGCAATGAGGTAGCGGATAGACTGAAAGCAGAAGGTAGGTACCTTCGCCAATGCAGAAAAAATTAAACACGGGTAAGAATGATTAGATTGTTTTAGCTGACTGATCTACAGTTGCAGCCGGACCTCCGAAAACAAGACAAGGTGAAAGGGTCTCGTGCTCACAGCGCCTCTCAATGGCAGCACAGGCAAGAGGAGGTGCACATAGTGCAGTTCCGGAGCAGGCAGGGCAAGACAACACAGTGAACTAAGTGAGTCGGTGAGTAAATGTTACGACGAGGGAGTGTGCCCAAAGGGCATTCGGCTAGGGAAAGTGGTGGAGGATGAAGGAGGGAAGAGATTCGTAGTAAACGAAGAAGTGGCGGTGGTAAAGGAGCAGTGGCTAAAAGAAAGGTCAGTAATTGTAGTATTCCAGGGGGATGCTCGTTCGCTTTCAAGAGCCGTCAAAGAAGACCTGATCAGGGCATATGAGGACGGCTGGACGGCGAAGAAGTTATTTCAACCCGAAGCAAGACGGGGTAGAGTCAAATTCGAAGGCCCGAATGTTGCCTCTTATGTGGCCAAAGCTAAAGAAATCGCAGAGTGGCTAATCCAACAGAAAGAAATGTCGATCAAGCTGGAGGAGGGGAAGATCTACACAGTCCTCTTCAGGCCATGGCTGTCGAAACAGGAGTTGCAAGAAGTCAGAATTCAGGAAGCCGGATCCAAGTTTTGGATCATGGCTCTGAGGGTGCCCCTAGAAGCTTACTTTTACTTAGGAAGCGCAGTGGAAGCCATCTTCGGCGGCTACTCGTCGATGCAGTCTCCGGAGTACGACCGAGATAGGCCTAAGTTAATGAATGTCAAGTTCGAAATGCCTCCAGACTCAAGAACGAGAATAGAAGACGATCTCACCATCCAATCGCCAAGGGAGAGAGTTGGAAGGTAGAAATTGGGACACCATACGCGGACTGGTGTCGGAGATGCAGGTGGTACTCTCACACTGAAGACAACTGCCCGAAGTCCAAGACCAAAATGGACGGCCGTGGGGGAAATGGGGAGAGACCGGGAGGTCACAAGTTGAGGTTCAGACAGCATCTGCAGGATCAGCAACGAGCTGCGCAAGTACAAGTTGAAGGCAGCAGGGAGCAGCCAAGGTCGCAGCAACCGCCCATCGGCGCAGTCAGGAGTCAAGGCCCCACTGGACCCCAGCCATCGGGGCATCTACAGCAGTTCGAGGCGAACGGGACATGCCATAGCCGAACCCAGCTCAGCCAGCTGCCCCTACCAAGAGATGTAGGAAGAGACACAGGAGGCAACAATCAATGGGCAGGTCCGTCGAGCAGCAGGCATTGGCCTGGGGTTCCAGGGAACAATCAGGGCAATGTCCAAGGTAGCGCCCAATGGCAAGGGGGAGATATCCACAGAGAAGCCAGAGGTTGGGAGGAGGAGCAAATCATCAACATGGGCCTGCCCCTACCCCCCCCCCTTACCTAAGGAGGGACTGGCCAGGAAGCCAGGCATAAAGAGACAGTCTCGCTAACAGCCACCTAGACGGATTGTTAATAGAGACTCCAACGCACATGTCGTGGCATGGACAGCAACCAGTGGGACTGTCAAGCATGGAGTACCAACACCAGTTCAGGGAACATCTCCAACCTCCTTAGAGCTACCAGATTGACCATCCTCAAGCCAGATACCTGAACGACAACTATGACTGGAGAAGATTCGTCGATCGTGGTAACGCCACACTAGAGTTTTCGAGGTGGGAAGAAAGGAGCGGCGGAAACAGTCGCACTCAGAGGACGAGTGGCAGGAGGTGGGATACCTGGAAGGAGGGCTCGAGAAGAAGCAGGGGGGATCTCACTCCATCCTGGAGGCAGAACCAGTCAACAACTCCGAAAGGACAGGAAGGAGGCTTTGGGCCCTGGGACACAGGTGCACGTCCGGAAGCTTACCGTATGATTGCTGAAGAATTGTCAAAATCTTCGGTATCCTCTAGATCCAAAGTCAGGTGGGGCAGTGAATGCTGTGAGGCAGAATATGGGGCTTTACATAAATCTGCTTCCTCCTCATCACTCGAAAGCTCTGCACAGTCAGGTGCAGCAAAGGTTGCAGGACACAAAAACGCGCAGGCAGGCAATAGGGGCCCGGTGACGCTGGAGAGAAATCAGATGGAGACAGTTCAAAGATGTTTGGTTCCGCTTCTCTGCACCAAGGCAGAAGACCGAGTTTTCCTGCTAGCCTTGACGGACGAGGACGGGGCTTCGAAGATTCCTTCCCAAGTGGTAGACTGCTCGCCCACTCCAGCATTGATCATGGACACAACAAAAGTGTTGTACGGCGAACACGTTCCATTTAAGCTGATTCCCCACTCATCAATGGTACCTGTTATCTGTGAGTCGGTCCAGGGCTATACCAAGATGTACTTTCCCATCTTGGATGCCTGGATCCCTCCAGAAACAGCCGGTCTCCTGGCGCAATCTGGGGTCCGATGGATCCACATGGACCTGGTACCCGAGCGAAACATGTAGGAGCTCGAAGCTATCAAGGTCCTGCCGGGCATCTCATCATTGGTCCTGCTGAATGTCAACAAGAAACTGCTACTTGAGGAGAACCTGCATTCTGATTTTCTGTCGCAGAGCCTGTCGGAGGATTGGAAGTCCATCTCAAGAGCTAGCTCCTCAAGAGGTAGCTCTTGCAAGCACTCGAAATCGCAGTCGAAGTCGAGCAACAAGATGAACAGCAAGATGAACACAGCGGACCAGCACCAATTGACAGCACAACGGTCATCCTCCAGCATCCAATCAAAGGCGGACGAATCCTGCAAGGATGATGAACAAGCTTAGATTAGCAACATGGAATGTGAGGTGCCTAGGGGACACCAATGGCCGAATGAAGCGAAGGAGGTTGAGATCTTGGGTGCACGAGCGAAGGGTTGAGTGCGTGATGCTACAGGAAACCAAACTGAGTAAGGTTAAACTGAGGGATTTCGCAGGGTGATGGGATGGCCCTCAAATCTGGTCCCCTGCCCAAGGGACCAGAGGTGGAGTGGGTATCCTTATCCACAGCGACTTGCAAGCGCAGGTGGTAGACGCAGAGCCGGATCTATGGGGTCGTTGGGCTTGGATGAAGATTGTGATAGGGGGAGAGGAATGGGTGTTAATGATCGTCTACGCGCCAACTAACTGGAGAGAGAGGGGTAAGTTCTTTTTGAGATTGAGAGCAATTATCCCGAGGGCAGACAGGTTGGTTCTAGCAGGAGATTAGAATGTTGCGCTTGATGAAGCTCTACGTCCAGGCGCAGCGTGCGCAGGCAGAGGAGACGTGCAAGCCTTGCTGGACATTTGCGCGGAATTTTCGCTTGCAGACCCCTTCCCAGTGTCAAACCCGGATGACCCTGGTTACGCTTGGTTCTCCAATCTGTTCAGAGACAGGCAGGCCATAACCAAGAGACGGTTAGACTATTTTCTGCTGAGCGAGTTCTCAATGGAGAAGGTTACAGCGGTCCGCCCAACCTGTCACCCCATGTCAGACCACAAACCGGTTGTGGTAGACATCAGTCTGTCCGCTGATACAGAGCGAGGTAAAAGGTTTTTTCAGCTTGAACAGCCAGGTGCTTGAGGTACCAGGCATTGGTGAATGGGTCTCAGAACACATGACCAGATGGGAGGGGGCGAGACCTTTATTCGAGACAACAGCGGAGTGGCTGGATGGAGGAATTGCTATAACCTCCGGTGTGCTGGACGTGTGCTCGAGGATCTTGGCCAGGGCAAGAAACATAAGAGAAGCAGAGTGTATGAGGAGAATAGAGGAGGCAGAGGACCGGATGGAGAGACACTCAATCTCGGTCATGGTCTGGGCAGCTGAAAGAGAAAAGAGGATGTCTGAGTGGAACAATTTGCAGGAGGAGAGGGAGAAAAGATGGGTGGAAATTTTGCAGATAAAGGGAGTGGAAACACACGACAGAATGACGAAGGAGACATTTCAAAAGTTGCAGCCGCGGAGGGCGCAGCAGCAGATGGTGGAACTACGGCACCCCTTCAACGCATCAGCCCCGGCAGCGTGTTCTTCGACGGGTATGCTGCAGTACGCAAGACTATACTATTCGGACATTTTGACATCGAGGCGGCCTCAAGACAGCGTAGACACAGATCTTTCACTATCGTCGGACATGTGGGAGTAGACAACAGTTAGATTGCACGCTGGCGGAAGACTGGACCTGGATCGCCCGCTCACCTTGGAGGAGATCTCTCAAACGGTCAAGTCCATGGCGAAGGGTAAATCCCCGGGGGTTGATGGCCTCACTGTCGAGTTCTATGCTGCAAACTGGTCTGTATTTGGGCCGCTGTTGGTAGAACTTTATAACGGGGTCCTGGTTGGTGGTAAACGAGGGAAGGGCACGACACACGGCGTTATCGCGGTCCTGTTCAAGAAGGGCGACAAGGCCGAAGTGCGAAACTGAAGGCCTATATCGCTGCTAAATGTATCTTACAAAATTCTGGCCAAGTCATTGGCCAGAAGGCTGGCAAGATACCTGCCTGACCTAGTGGCCTATGACCAAGGTGCGTTCGTGCAGGGTCGCTCGATCTTTAACAACATAGTAACGGCCATTGAAACTCTTGAAGTGGTCCAACAAGAGAACCTGGATTACGCTGTTCTTCTCCTTGATTTGGAGAAGGCGTATGATAAAGTAGGCTGGACCTTCATGCTCACTACGCTGCGTTGGCTAGGATTCGGGGAAGGGTTCTGCGCATGGGTCATCACACTATACACGTTCTCCACAGCCTCAGTCATGATCAATGGTCACTTGTCGGAGCCGTTTCCTCTTACAAGGTCTCTCAGACAGGGATGCCCACTGGCACCCCTAATCTTCGTGCTCCAGCTGGAGGTGCTGCTGAATAAGATTCGCTCCCTCCCGATTATTCGTGGTCTGCAGCTACACACGGGCAACGAATGTAAGGTGAAGGTGCTGGCTGATGATCTCTTCGCAGTCTGCGAAAATTCTGAGCCAGCTCTGACAGCAATGAACAGTGTATTGTGTGAATACTCCACGTTATCAGAGGCATCAGTGAATTGGTGCAAGTCAACCTACCTCCTCCCGGCGCAGTTCGAACTCAAGGTGGAATGGGGCATGAAGAGAGTGGCGAAGGGAGAGGAGGAACGATTCCTGGGAATGCTGATAAGTCTGCAGATCGAAGCTTCGTCGCAAGGCCTACTCCTTCAGCAGCGGATTGCAGCTAGACTAAGGATATGGGGTTCAGCATGGCACCTATCATTGATAGGCAGAGCACTGGTGGCCAACGCGGCTCTGTTCTCCATTCTCTGGTTTGTTACCACGGTGATTGAATTGGCAGACGGCATGGCAAGGGCTATTAGGAAATTGGTGGCACGTTTTCTCTGGAAACCCAGGGCCCAGAGCACTGAGTCATTCATCTCCAAAGTGGCACTCGACACCTTGTCCTTCCCGAGGGAGAAAGGGGGTCTGGGTCTGGTGGAACCGACAAGGAAGAACCAAGCTCAGTTGTTGATCTGGGTAAAGAAAGCCGCTGGTCTGGGCGAGTCGGAACATTGGGTGGCTCTAGCGGAGCGAATTCTAATGGGGGAATGGAAGCTGAGCCGCCCGAAAGATGTCTGGGCCTGTTTCTTCATGCCATCCTTTAGAAAGAAGAGACTCTGTTCTGGATTCTGGGAACCTATCAGAAGAGCCTGGAAAAGAATGTCGCCGAACTCCCAGTCCACCCCCACCACGAAGGAAGAAGTGCTAAATCAGCTTCTATTCGAAAATCCAGTTGTGGTGGACAGCTCTCATACCCCCTTCCTCGCAGATGGCAAGCCTGGGACGTTTGGGCGAGCCACGGTGAGAAGAGGAGTGGTGAAAATGGAGGACATTTGGTCCTTGCCACTACGAGGATGGATCCCACTCAGGGAGCTCAAGCTGAAGTTAAGAGGCCTGCAGCGAACGGAAGAGCACTGGCATCGACTCATAGAGGCCATACCCCTGGAGTGGCTAGATATCCTTGGTCCGGATGGTATCGATCCCACAAGCACGATGTCTCAGATACGGAACCCAGAGGAGATATTCTCTGGAAGGTATTGGAAATCCTGCCCAGCGGCTTCAGGAGAGTAGAAAGGTGGAGGAACGTCGGCCCACTGAACTTGCCGTCTTTCGTGGAAGGAACGACAGCCACAACGTGGGATAACCCAAGCCAGGTAAGAGTTGTGGAAGTCTGCACCAAGGGATCGAGAGTAAAGCGCCTGTCTTGGGTGGGCAAGGCACCGCTGAGAAGCTTGCGGTTCGACCCTCTTGCCTGGAGCTGGTCAGCCAACGCAACAGGAGGAAAAGAGGCCAGCTTGCAAGAATACACAGTCGCTCTTGGTTATCAAATCGCCTCCAAGCCCCTGAAATCACCAGCAAAAGTGGCAGTATCCAGGTGGCAAGCGGTGATGCAGGGGGAACTCGAAGGGACGGAACAGGACTTCGGGGATCTATGGAAGAATCTGACCAGGCTACCTAATGGCAAGCAAGTAAGCATTCTGTGGCTTGTCTCTCCTAGTAACACCCTCAGCGGTTTGGCTGATCAGTAGGGGCATGCAGGTAGACTTGGGTTGCCCCAGGTGCAGCTGCTCGTTCGAATCCACGAGGCATCTATGGTGGGAGTGTCCAGCCTCGAAGCAGGTCTGGAAATGGTGGGAATACCACTGGGGGAAGTTCGGAGGTCAGGGTGTGGGATGGAATGAGCTCTGGGTACTGTTGGGCTTCCTTCCCTCCACATTGAACGGTCGCAGAGGTTGGGGTTACATTGCGAATGTGGTGAGAGGCCTGATCTGTGAGGTGATCTGGATGGAAAGAAACAGAGCGAGATTCCAGCAGAAACCRTTTTCCGACATGGAAACCAAGAGGCACATCAAACAGGGTCTCAAACAGGCAATCTGGGTGGACTGGAGAAGGTCAGCCAAGTCAGGGAGGGGAAACAGCAGGCAACTCCGATGGTTTCTTCATACCTGGGCAAAGAATCATCAGCTGGCAGGCATTCACCCGGAGAAGGGTCTGGTTCTCTCGCATTGGGTAGAGCAGGTAGACAACCAGGGTACCTGTTAGCAGTGCACTTCTAGGAAGTTTGGGAGGCTAACCAGGACACTCTGTTACTTCTAGAGTCGCAATGGGCCGTTACGAGAGTGTCAGTAGGTTTGGACTCCGTCCTCTGGGTTCAAGTAGGATAGCCAGTGGTCAGATTGAAAGCGGTACACCTGTTGGGGACCAGGGACACTCGGTCCCATCTAGGGCCGCGGTGGGTCATTAGGTGAGTGTCATTAGGTAGAGATTTACCCCACTGGGCCGTATTAGTCCCAGGGTAAATCAGGGTGGAAAGCTATCGAGTCTATTTATGGCCTGTTGGAGTGCATTGTTTCGTCTACTAAATGTTGTTAAATTCAGAACAGTAGAAGGGCAGAACCTGTGAGAATACTCTTTTTACAGCCCAGTGAGCTGTAGGCTGCGGGACACCAAGCAGACAGGATTGTGTTGCTCGACTATCGGTAGCAAATAGTATTATCATCTTTTCAGCCTTTGGAAAAGGTTCAAATTGAGGCGCTAGCTAGTGCTGCTGGTAGAAATCTGGAAAGTTAGTAGTTGTGGACTTTCCGCAGGCATTTGCCTGTAAGCAAAGCTGGCTGATGCTGTCAGTATCCCGGGCTGAATTGTGAGGTCCCCGGCCTCGATGCTACATTTATAATGAATCTTGTATTTGTATTGAAAAAAAAAAAAAAAAAAAAGTGTGGGCAACAAGGCCTTTCTCAAAACACTTACCAGTGACATCTTTCGTCTGCATTTTTTTTTGTTTCCCGTCCTTTAGTGTGAAACAGTTTTCACCTTTGGCAGTAGCCGATGCAGATCCCAGGGGTCGATCCCTTGACCTCAGCTTACCTGTGTACAGTATCTGCACAGTTCCCTGGAGTTGAACCCGTGACCTGCACGATAGCCAGTGGTAAGTAGGTCGC